TTCACTTAGAAGTAGCTTACGCTCTTTCTATTGATTCATTCCTAATGATGCTTTCACGCTTTACCAACCGCAGGGGGACTCCGAGGGAGATATTCAGTGACCGGGGTACAAACTTTGTGGAGGCTGATCGTGAGTTACAGCAAGTTGTGCCACAATTAGACAGTGATTGTATGATGAGAGCTATGGCAAATCGTGGTATAGAATGGAAGTTAAATCCACCTTATGCTAGCCACCGTGGCAGAGTATGGGAGGGGTTGATCAGAAGCGTACGTCGAGTGTTAAGCGCAGTTTCGAAGGAGCAAGTCCTCACAGATGAATCACTCATGACCTATTTGACAGAAGTAGAAAGGATACTAAATAGTAGGCCGCTAGTACCTGTTTATGATGACCCAAGTCAGTTGGATGTGCTGACACCAAATCATATTCTCTTATCAAGAAATCCTGAACAGGTTCCTGAAATCGACGTTAGTTTATGTGGACGTTATTCACGACGATGGAAACAAGGGCAACTCCTTGCCGATACGTTTTGGAGATGGTGGAAGCGGGTGTACTTGACGAACTTACAATCGCGTGCAAAGTGGTTTCAACGACATCGAAACTTACAAGTGGGAGACCTAGTACTAGTGACTGCTGAGCCTTCACCTCGCAATCGTTGGTCAATGGGAATAATTACAGGCGTTACGGCAATCTGTGATGGGTATATCAGATAAGTGGATATCAAGACACCGAGGGGTATAATCAACCGAGATGTGCGTAAGGTTTGCCTATTAGAAGGTATTGAGGAGAGATAAGCACTTTGTAGGATATATAGCTGGATAGTGGATGCAGATGTGGCGAGAGTAAATTGTACCATTTCTGTGTCTTACTAGCAGGCAGAGTAGGGAAAACCAGGCTGGTTTTGAGAGGGCGGTATTAATTCCTTTCCTACCTGTTCATTCTCAATCTTTCCTTTCTTCAACTTGCCATTAGTAAGTAGTATGATTTTTTATATGTTAATTTATAACAATGACATTTGCTTACAACTGCAGTTAAATTACTTGTTCTACTATCATTCTATTAATATATTAAATATTCCCATAGTAAAATTTAGAACAACACATTTAAGCGAACAATATTGTTTTCAATTAGATCTCATCAGGCTTAACTCTAATATATATAAGTTTACAAATAAAAATTCAAATATAAACCAATCACGGTGTTTTGTCTATAGGATAATACGATGGTGAATAACTGCACAATCGATATTCACCATCGTATTATCCTATAGACAAAACACCGTGATTGGTTTATATTTGAATTTTTATTTGTAAACTTATATATATTAGAGTTAAGCCTGATGAGATCTAATTGAAAACAATATTGTTCGCTTAAATGTGTTGTTCTAAATTTTACTATGGGAATATTTAATATATTAATAGAATGATAGTAGAACAAGTAATTTAACTGCAGTTGTAAGCAAATGTCATTGTTATAAATTAACATATAAAAAATCATACTTAATATCAGTAAAAAGTTTGAGCATTGTGGATTAGATCAAATAAAGTATAATTATATTTTAATAGTTTACACACAATGATAAGTTTTGTTATTGGTAATATTTCGAGCAAAATTACTGCCCGTGTTCACACCACTGTTGGAATTGTTTTATTCACACATTTATGATTTGTATTCACATATATAGTTCATTATTATTATTTTGTTCATTCATGTTTTGTGTGTGCATATGTGTGTTCAGAATTATACTCCACATTCATTCATGTGTTTGTGTTTAGAATTATATTCCAAGTTGTTGATAGTTGTACTGAGTCACCCTTGTTACATGTATCCGGTGTGACTTTAATGAATATCGACTCTGTTATGAGTCTTTCTTTCCATTTGTTCATGTTTGTTTTTAGAATACACACATTCTCCCAATCGATATTGTGGTTTTTGTCCCACGCATGTGCAGCTATGGATGAATTTTTTTCAAGATTTTTGTAGGCTTGTGTCACTGTTGGTTGACCTTTAGTTAGGCGTTTATGTTCATTCACTCTTATTTTGAGTGATCTGGACGTTTGCCCCACATATTTAGTTGGACAGTCAGCACAAGATATTTTATAAATCAAATTGTTTTTATCCATCATTTTTATGGGATCTTTTAGTTGATTTATTTTATTTTTGATTAGATTTGTCGGTTTAAAGGTTGTTCGAATGCCGATATTTTCGAGGTTTCTTTGTATTGCCTCTGATGTACCATTTTTATATGGTATTGCGACTGTTTTTCTCCATTCTTCCTTCTTGTTATTCTCCGGTTTTACTCTCTTTTTTCTCTTTTTTATATTATCTTTTATAAATTCTCTAGGGTAGTTGTTTTCGAGTAACATTTTGAATAGGACTTTTATTTCTTTACGCTGGTCCTCTGGTGCTGTTGTAAGTCTACGTATTCTATCTGCAAGACCCTGTATTAATCCTCGTTTCACCGAGAGTGGATGAGCTGAGTAATAATCAAGGAATCTTCCAGAATGTGTGGCTTTTCTATATATCGTTGTTTTTATGCTACCATCTGTCATTCTTTGTAGCTTGCAATCTAACATGGGCAGTTCTCCAATTTCATTCTCTAATTCCATAGTAAATTTTATTGAGTCGACGTGTTTGTTTATGTGTGATAAAAGTTTCTCAGTATCGTTTTTTTTCACTATTACTAGCGTGTCGTCTACATATCTCCACCAACATTTTAGTGATGATCTGAATGGTTTAAGGGCATTCTCCTCCCAATAATCCATGAAAATGTCAGCTATAATTGGTGAGATAGGCAATCCCATGGCTACTCCCTCATTTTGTTGGTATATTTTTCCTTCGAATGTGAAATATGTTGTTGTCAGACAGAATTCTACCCCTTTTATTATTTCTTCTACGGATAACTGTGTTCTGTCTTTCAGGCCATTATCTTCATTTAGTTTCTCTTTCAGTGCAATCATGGCCATTTGAATGGGTATTTTCGTATAAAGACTGTTTACATCAAAGCTAACTAGTATTTCTTCCTCCTCTATTTTAGTGGTTTTTATTCGCCTCACTAATTCAAATGAATCTACTATTCTAGCTTTTGAGTTGTCTCTTGTCGGTCTTAGTATTGTCGAGAGAAATCTGGATAGCATATACGTTGGTGTGTTTCTGAAGTCTACAATCGGTCTTATTGGATATCCCTCTTTATGCAATTTTATCTTACCATATATCCTAGGTACATTACAGGATTTTGGGATAATTTCAAACCATTTGTTTGAAAACTCAAGCGGTTCACTTAGAAGTAGCTTACGCTCTTTCTATTGATTCATTCCTAATGATGCTTTCACGCTTTACCAACCGCAGGGGGACTCCGAGGGAGATATTCAGTGACCGGGGTACAAACTTTGTGGAGGCTGATCGTGAGTTACAGCAAGTTGTGCCACAATTAGACAGTGATTGTATGATGAGAGCTATGGCAAATCGTGGTATAGAATGGAAGTTAAATCCACCTTATGCTAGCCACCGTGGCAGAGTATGGGAGGGGTTGATCAGAAGCGTACGTCGAGTGTTAAGCGCAGTTTCGAAGGAGCAAGTCCTCACAGATGAATCACTCATGACCTATTTGACAGAAGTAGAAAGGATACTAAATAGTAGGCCGCTAGTACCTGTTTATGATGACCCAAGTCAGTTGGATGTGCTGACACCAAATCATATTCTCTTATCAAGAAATCCTGAACAGGTTCCTGAAATCGACGTTAGTTTATGTGGACGTTATTCACGACGATGGAAACAAGGGCAACTCCTTGCCGATACGTTTTGGAGATGGTGGAAGCGGGTGTACTTGACGACCTTACAATCGCGTGCAAAGTGGTTTCAACGACATCGAAACTTACAAGTGGGAGACCTAGTACTAGTGACTGCTGAGCCTTCACCTCGCAATCGTTGGTCAATGGGAATAATTACAGGCGTTACGGCAATCTGTGATGGGTATATCAGATAAGTGGATATCAAGACACCGAGGGGTATAATCAACCGAGATGTGCGTAAGGTTTGCCTATTAGAAGGTATTGAGGAGAGATAAGCACTTTGTAGGATATATAGCTGGATAGTGGATGCAGATGTGGCGAGAGTAAATTGTACCATTTCTGTGTCTTACTAGCAGGCAGAGTAGGGAAAACCAGGCTGGTTTTGAGAGGGCGGTATTAATTCCTTTCCTACCTGTTCATTCTCAATCTTTCCTTTCTTCAACTTGCCATTAGTAAGTAGTATGATTTTTTATATGTTAATTTATAACAATGACATTTGCTTACAACTGCAGTTAAATTACTTGTTCTACTATCATTCTATTAATATATTAAATATTCCCATAGTAAAATTTAGAACAACACATTTAAGCGAACAATATTGTTTTCAATTAGATCTCATCAGGCTTAACTCTAATATATATAAGTTTACAAATAAAAATTCAAATATAAACCAATCACGGTGTTTTGTCTATAGGATAATACGATGGTGAATAACTGCACAATCGATATTCACCATCGTATTATCCTATAGACAAAACACCGTGATTGGTTTATATTTGAATTTTTATTTGTAAACTTATATATATTAGAGTTAAGCCTGATGAGATCTAATTGAAAACAATATTGTTCGCTTAAATGTGTTGTTCTAAATTTTACTATGGGAATATTTAATATATTAATAGAATGATAGTAGAACAAGTAATTTAACTGCAGTTGTAAGCAAATGTCATTGTTATAAATTAACATATAAAAAATCATACTACTTACTAATGGCAAGTTGAAGAAAGGAAAGATTGAGAATGAACAGGTAGGAAAGGAATTAATACCGCCCTCTCAAAACCAGCCTGGTTTTCCCTACTCTACCTGCTAGTAAGACACAGAAATGGTACAATTTACTCTCGCCACATCTGCATCCACTATCCAGCTATATATCCTACAAAGTGCTTATCTCTCCTCAATACCTTCTAATAGGCAAACCTTACGCACATCTCGGTTGATTATACCCCTCGGTGTCTTGATATCCACTTATCTGATATACCCATCACAGATTGCCGTAACGCCTGTAATTATTCCCATTGACCAACGATTGCGAGGTGAAGGCTCAGCAGTCACTAGTACTAGGTCTCCCACTTGTAAGTTTCGATGTCGTTGAAACCACTTTGCACGCGATTGTAAGGTCGTCAAGTACACCCGCTTCCACCATCTCCAAAACGTATCGGCAAGGAGTTGCCCTTGTTTCCATCGTCGTGAATAACGTCCACATAAACTAACGTCGATTTCAGGAACCTGTTCAGGATTTCTTGATAAGAGAATATGATTTGGTGTCAGCACATCCAACTGACTTGGGTCATCATAAACAGGTACTAGCGGCCTACTATTTAGTATCCTTTCTACTTCTGTCAAATAGGTCATGAGTGATTCATCTGTGAGGACTTGCTCCTTCGAAACTGCGCTTAACACTCGACGTACGCTTCTGATCAACCCCTCCCATACTCTGCCACGGTGGCTAGCATAAGGTGGATTTAACTTCCATTCTATACCACGATTTGCCATAGCTCTCATCATACAATCACTGTCTAATTGTGGCACAACTTGCTGTAACTCACGATCAGCCTCCACAAAGTTTGTACCCCGGTCACTGAATATCTCCCTCGGAGTCCCCCTGCGGCTGGTAAAGCGTGAAAGCATCATTAGGAATGAATCAATAGAAAGAGCGTAAGCTACTTCTAAGTGAACCGCTCGAGTTTTCAAACAAGTGAATATGCATCCATGTCTTTTGTCTGTAGTCCGCCCCCGCCTAACGATAAAGGGGCCGAAGTAATCTACCCCGGGTGCTAGAGAATGGAAAATCTGACGTGACCCTTGCTATGGTTAATTCTGCCATCAGTTGTTCAGTAGGTTTTGCAGACCTGATTCGGCAACCGATGCATTTATTCACCACACGCTTAACTACTGACGCTCCTTTCAATATCCAATATTTCATACGCAATGCTGACAAAAGATGGACTACTCCCATATGTCCTTCAGTCTCATGATAATAACGAACAATAACCTCCGTGACAGGATGAGTTCCTGGCAATATAACTGGATGTTTTTCCGAACTTGACTATTATTCAATCGTCCGCCGACACATATCAAGTCACCTAAGATGACAGGATGCAGTTTCTTGATACGTTGAAGGAGTGGCTTGTATTTACTATCCAAATGGCGTTCACACATAACTCCTTTGATTTTACCGAACTCTTGTTTTTGCACGTATCTAAGGATATCTTCCTCTGCCTCTAACATCTCACACGTTTGTAAAAGGCCTTGCACTAGACGTTTTAGTAGAAAAACTTTAAACCTTTTTAACCAGGCTACCGCTCTACGAAGTTTTGTCCAAGAAGAGAAATACGAGAATAAGGTGTCTGTCGGATTTACGGAATCTGGAACTTCCTTTTCAGGATATGTGCCGATTCGTATCTTAGGTCCTAAAGGATTTCTAGATACCTATGCCTTTCTTGACAATGGTTCAGATGCTACACTGCTGCTGAGTCATGTTGCCCGCCAAATAGGACTGGAAGGGGTTAATACATTGATGCAGGTAACATCTTTCTGTGGAACTACTTCTCAGAATTCATCTAAGGTTGATTTCGAAGTTGAATCCTTAACGGGAGATTACAAGATGAGGGTCAAGAGTGCCTACACCGTGTAAAGCTTACCTGTAAAGAGACCTAAGACTCCTTCAAACGAACAGATGAAAAAATGGCCTCACCTGGCAGAAATTCCCTTTCTAGACGTCGAATGTAAACAGGTCAGTCTACTAATTGGGACTAATGTACCTGAAGCACACTGGGTGCTGGAGCAGCGTATAGGGAAATCCAACCAACCGTTTGCATCTTTGTCAGTTTTTGGTTGGTATTTATTGGGTTCAGGAAACGCATATAAAGAAGCAACCTCTATCTTCTGCTTAGAGGAAAGTGAATCAGTAGAGAACAAGCTTTTGCGAATGATTGAAGCTGAATTTCAGGACAAGCACTCATGCGAAAGGTCCAGTTCTGAAATAGATAAAGAGGTTCTGAAGGCAACCGATAGGGAGATAAGATTGCGGAACGGACATTATGAAGTTCCATTGACTTGGAAAGAGGACTGGCGTAGATTACCGCCTAATAGGTCTGAGGCAGAACGCAGGCTGGACAGTCTTCAGAAGAAACTAAAAAGGACGAAAGCCTATTAAAGTCCTACAATCAAATACTAACAGACCATGAGTTGAAGTGTTGTATTAGTCGCGTTCCTGACGACTTCTCCAAGAAACGTAGATTTATCCCTCACCACCCAGTTATAAATCCCCGCAAGCCTGGTAAAATTAGAGTGGTTTTCGATTGTGCCTTTAAATGTAAGGGAATGTCCTTGAACGATTGTCTGTATTCGGGACCGGATCTGATAAATGACTTGGCTGGGGTACTATTGAGATTTAGAAAACATCGGGTAGCCTTGTCAGCAGATATTGAGGAGATGTTTCTTCAGGTTCGCTTACCTGTCAAGGATAAAAGTGCCTTTAGTTTCTTATGGTATTCTGAGGGTAGACTGGACTTACCACCGAGCCTGTATGAATCAAACGTACATCCCTTCGGTGCTACCTCATCACCTTTTTGTGCAGCCTATGCTTCAAAACAAGCCGCAATCGACAACGCGAAATTGTTTGACGAGAAGACATTAAGCACTGTCAGAGAAAATTTCTATGTGGATGATTGTCTAGTCTCAGTAGAAACAGTAGCAAAAGCCATAGCTTTATCCAACCAGCTGCGTCAGCTCGCCTCTCTTGGTGGATTTCGTTTGCACAAATGGAATAGTAACAATGAAGAAGTGTTATCCAACATTCCCGTTCGTGAGCGGTCCTCAAACATACTGCATTTAGAAGATTCGACGAAGACACTGGGTTTATGCTGGTGTGTCAAGTCAGATTGCTTCAAGTTTGAAGTAAATCTGCCAGTACGTCCGATAACGAAGAGGGGAATCTTGTCGTGCATAGCTTCTTTATATGATCCACTCGGTTATGTCGCCCCACTACTACTTCCACCTAAAAGAGTAATGCAACACCTGTGCCGAAGTGAGTTTGGGTGGGATGAACATGTTGACGTGAGTATCGGTGCCAAATGGGAGGCTTGGCTTGTTGACATTAAGAGAATTAAGGATCTAGAGGTTCAACGTTGTTTTCGACCCCAGACCTTCAGTCCTATAGCAGTTTCAATGCACTTATTTTCGGATGCCTCTGAAATAGGTTTCGGTTCAGTAGCATATCTACGTTACGAGTCCTGTTCAGGGAAGTAAGCTGCAGCTTTGTTATGGGCAAATCTAGAGTGGCTCCCTTGAAGCATGTCACCGTGCCACGTTTAGAACTACAGGCAGCCGTGCTCTCAGTGAAGCTGTTAAAATACATCTTAGAGGAAATAAAGTTGGAACTAAGTGATGTTTATCTATGGACAGATTCTATGATTGTGTTAAGCTACATCCGCAATACCACATCCCGCTTCAAAACCTACATAGCTAACAGAGTAGGGTTTATACTTGATAACACTACGCGGGCTCAATGGCGACATGTACCAACTAATATGAATTCAGCTGACCTTGCTTCCAGGGGAATAAAGATGAGTGAGTACGAGCGTATACATACCTGGCTCGATGGTCCTGGATTTCTCAAAAATCCTAAAAAGGATTGGCCGAATTTCGATGGAAAAAGCGTGCCAATAATTCCATCTGACATAAAGCTAAAGCAAGCCACCATCTTAACGACACAAACAGCCGTAAATCCGACAGACACCTTATTCTCGTATTTCTCTTCTTGGACAAAACTTCGTAGAGCGGTAGCCTGGTTAAAAAGGTTTAAAGTTTTTCTACTAAAACGTCTAGTGCAAGGCCCTTTACAAACGTGTGAGATGTTAGAGGCAGAGGAAGATATCCTTAGATACGTGCAAAAACAAGAGTTCGGTAAAATCAAAGGAGTTATGTGTGAACGCCATTTGGATAGTAAATACAAGCCACTCCTTCAACGTATCAAGAAACTGCATCCTGTCATCTTAGGTGACTTGATATGTGTCGGCGGACGACTGAATAATAGTCAACTGTCAAGTTCGGAAAAACATCCAGTTATATTGCCAGGAACTCATCCTGTCACGGAGGTTATTGTTCGTTATTATCATGAGACTGAAGGACATATGGGAGTAGTCCATCTTTTGTCAGCATTGCGTATGAAATATTGGATATTGAAAGGAGCGTCAGTAGTTAAGCGTGTGGTGAATAAATGCATCGGTTGCCGAATCAGGTCTGCAAAACCTACTGAACAACTGATGGCAGAATTAACCATAGCAAGGGTCACGTCAGATTTTCCATTCTCTAGCACCGGGGTAGATTACTTCGGCCCCTTTATCGTTAGGCGGGGGCGGACTACAGACAAAAGACATGGATGCATATTCACTTGTTTGAAAACTCGAGCGGTTCACTTAGAAGTAGCTTACGCTCTTTCTATTGATTCATTCCTAATGATGCTTTCACGCTTTACCAACCGCAGGGGGACTCCGAGGGAGATATTCAGTGACCGGGGTACAAACTTTGTGGAGGCTGATCGTGAGTTACAGCAAGTTGTGCCACAATTAGACAGTGATTGTATGATGAGAGCTATGGCAAATCGTGGTATAGAATGGAAGTTAAATCCACCTTATGCTAGCCACCGTGGCAGAGTATGGGAGGGGTTGATCAGAAGCGTACGTCGAGTGTTAAGCGCAGTTTCGAAGGAGCAAGTCCTCACAGATGAATCACTCATGACCTATTTGACAGAAGTAGAAAGGATACTAAATAGTAGGCCGCTAGTACCTGTTTATGATGACCCAAGTCAGTTGGATGTGCTGACACCAAATCATATTCTCTTATCAAGAAATCCTGAACAGGTTCCTGAAATCGACGTTAGTTTATGTGGACGTTATTCACGACGATGGAAACAAGGGCAACTCCTTGCCGATACGTTTTGGAGATGGTGGAAGCGGGTGTACTTGACGACCTTACAATCGCGTGCAAAGTGGTTTCAACGACATCGAAACTTACAAGTGGGAGACCTAGTACTAGTGACTGCTGAGCCTTCACCTCGCAATCGTTGGTCAATGGGAATAATTACAGGCGTTACGGCAATCTGTGATGGGTATATCAGATAAGTGGATATCAAGACACCGAGGGGTATAATCAACCGAGATGTGCGTAAGGTTTGCCTATTAGAAGGTATTGAGGAGAGATAAGCACTTTGTAGGATATATAGCTGGATAGTGGATGCAGATGTGGCGAGAGTAAATTGTACCATTTCTGTGTCTTACTAGCAGGTAGAGTAGGGAAAACCAGGCTGGT